TGGAAGCAGATGGATTTTTCAGAGACACGTAATTAATCCTTCGCCATTCCTTTTAAAGAACTAGTGTGTGGTGACACATTAAAATTTATATGGAATTTTTAATCACATTGTTTTACTTAACACTTGAATAAATGTTTACAATAATTTACTGAGATGTGTCTTACTTGTTTTTATTGGGTCCCACAGACTTACCTAACCTAACCTAACCTAACCTATTCGCTAGCCACCTGGTGTGCATTCATGTTACCAGATAAACCCATTTTTATTCTGAAATAGTCACGGGGGGGGACATAAAAATTTTCATTTGCAAAAAAACTGTATCGGAGGGTACAATCAGACCGATGTTTCTACACACTTTTTAACAAACACCCTGTACCATAGCTATGCTTGTACTGAGAGGTGGGTCAGTTTTATGAAAAATTTCATTTCAAGAGTTGTAATGGTTTAGTAACAAATAAATTCAGAAATTTTAAATAATATTGGCACTTTCAAGCCCAGTGGTAACTATGTATACCACCTTCTTTAATAACCAGTAAGACCATGCCGAACTTTACCCCTTGCTCTGTTTATCTTCGTTTCAACTTCTCTTCAACAGATCTTAATGAGGACGAGTGGGCAATGCCTGGGAACCTTCATAGCCTGAAAGTTATCTGTTTCCCCTTTTAAATGCAGTGTCTGTCACTAGTAATCCTCTCGTTTTAGTCGTCGATTCGTTTAAGACTGTTTAAACTGGGAAGGTAAATGATACTTAAGTGTTGTCCTTGTCACTACGTGTCTTAATGCCTTCTGCCCTCTTCTTGCAAGTGACGACAGATGGCACAGGCTTAAATAACTCTGTAACCGAAATATGTGCAGCTGAAGGGCAACGTTTGGTCACGATCCTTGGCCACTTCCCGGGAGCCACACAAACTGCGAGTACTTCAAAATTATTTTGAAACCCTCACATATTTGTGGACTGAGCTTCTGGGTCATCTAGACCAGTGGTATTCAACATTTTTTGTTCGCGTACCCCCAGATATAATTTCTCTTCAACTTTGCACCCCCAAAGTTGTTAGAGTATAATTCAAGTTATACATAGTATATAATCTACATATAAAATAAATTAAATAAATTACATTACTGATTATTCAGTGTTTATCATAAAATAATATTTTTTTTTTAAATTTCACGTACCCCCTAAGATGTCTTATAAAATAAATTAAATAAATTACATTACTGATTATTCAGTGTTTATCATAAAATAATATTTTTTTTTTAAATTTCACGTACCCCCAAAGATGTCTTCGCGTACCCCAGGTTGAATACCACTGATCTAGACGACAGTCGGGATATAGGGTTCACGCTGTGGAAAGCAGGGATCGTAAATTAAAGTAGGTCACCACAGTTTACTTCTAAATTTCATAATTCATTACTGAACATTTTTGCAACTGTGCGTTTTGCCTCCGGATTTCATTAATTGGTTTATTTCAGTAATAAAAAATAATCTACTGTTTCCCTAAACAGCATTAAGCGATTTATCTTCAGATTCTTCTGATCGAGTTTTCTTTGAGGTACGAACAGCATTTATTTAGAGTTCGTATGTTTACCGACTGAATCATGACTGCCCCTTCCTTTCACCAACCTGTGAGATAACCTCATAGATTGTTACCAGGAGAATCAATAGTTTATGCCTGATAAATGCACAAATGAAGCGAGCGGTACAATTTTAAAGACGCCGTCCCTTACAAATATCATTTTGGAGTTAATACGTATTGAACAAATACCACAGAATGATTTAGATAAGTTGCGGCCTTAAATCTTAACTAACCTTTGCCACATCGTTAAATAAAACATTTAATCAGCAAAGAGGAAAGGTACCGCGCCTCTAATTAAATGAATTTGCCAATTAAATGCCTTGCGCCTTCCTTATTTGTGCTACATGGATGAAATTAATACGCAATGGTGAGTCGTGTCTGTGCGCATGCGTCATTGATGGCAACACTCGACAGATTTTTATTAAATTTGATATTGGGAGTATACAATACAACTATTCTTATCGTTACAAATTTTTTTTCAAATAGTTTTGATGTTATTATTTAACCAAACTGAAGAAAAGTAACATTTATAACAATGGATTTGTATCGGAAATAAATTAACAACAGAACAAATGAGGTAAATAAAACGCAAAGAGTGAAAAATGGCCTCCGTCAGCTCACACAGATGGCAGGAAGTGTCTCTATAAAAATATCCTTATCTCCACGTGTCTCCAATTCACTGTAACCGGGGACCAACTCCACTATCACTGCCTTTGAACAGCGATGATTACAGGGCGTTTCAAAAACATTTAGATAATGTTTCATATTCAAAATAGGTCAAAACACAGATAATCATTTTTATTAATAGAAATTTTCTATTGTCCTCACCTAAGCGAGCACTGGAAGCTCTATTCTCAGCGTACACGAAACCAAAACATAACTTTATCAGTTTTCTAATAAACTGCTCATTATGAGAAAAACTGGTGAGTTACAAAGCAAAATATAGTTGTGATTGACGTCGAAACATTTTTTTTTAAAATATTTAACAATAATTCCTGACTTCGGTGTGAAAACGTGATAGAACTTGTGACACACACTGTACCTAATTTCCAATTAACAAGCCGTTAAGTATTAGCCTTGGCAATTAATTGCCTCAACCATCCCGCTGTGTTGCTAACAAGTTGCTACCGTACACATATGACGTAACCCAATGATTCTCGTGTGCATCAAGCCTCCAAGCCTCCGACGTTCAGTAACAAAACTACGGTTCGCGTTGACCCACGTCCTGTAAGTGCGAGCTCACCCTAAAATCTGTGGCGCGTCGGGAGAACATCGTTAAGTGACAGTGTTTCTGCGCGATCACCAACAACATTTGCCTTCAAAGTGTGGACTTCAACAGGTAAGAGAAAACACGATGTAATCCATCTTCTTTACCACTTCGATGCTACGAACGACAAATATCGTATAGAAACAGTGGCTTTATTTACTGGGAATGCTTTTAATGTATGAAATTCGGTGAAAAAGACTCTTCTAGTGCCAATTGTAGTTTAAAATGTTTGTGGTTGTCATGGAAATGTAACTTGCACGTTAATTTAAAATAAAACGGCATGACAGGTATTATTAACCATTTCACGGATATCTTCGAGTATACTCGTTGACATGCTCAGAAAGTTTGTAAGATTGTCTGGAGCCTGGTCTCCAATAATATATATTCACAGGGCGTTTTAATACGCGAAGAAAATGTCGGTGTTCTTATCCCTTCAGTGCGTAAAAATCATTCTGTTACTGTGATTCGAATTTAAATATTTCTGTCAGGTACACCGGAAGTAGGGCGGGCAACATCACATCCTGCTTGCTTCACCGCGCACGTATAACGCCGAGAACTTGTGACGCCAGATATGAAACATTTTCGACATCAGGGACAAAAATATCGCAGACATATTATGCACTGTTCTGCCGAATGTGCCAGAAACACGACGCGCAGTTCTTTCCGTACCTGCCTTCTCCTTAACCCTCGACGTGATTGTTGTCGGGTGTTTGTAACTCCGCGTTTGCGCACAAAGAGTATTAACGTGTTCCGTATGATTCTCAGAATAAACAGCGATTATTTCCTTAAACAGCGTTAACCAGCTGATCTTTGTAATGGTGAAGCCTTGTGTTTTCTTCGCGGTACGGACTGAATTCATAAATATTATTTAGATAGCTTTGGCATCAAAGGGTAAATCCAACAGTAATAAACAATGCATTCGTACCCAAACCGCATTTATGAGCTTCGTTGTAAACAGCGATCATTTCCTTAAACAGCGTTAACCACTTGATCTTTGTAATGGTAAGGAGACGTGTTTTCTTCGCGGTACGGACTGGATTCTTAAATAATCTTTAAACGATTTTCGGCTTCAAAGGATTAATTAGCGTTTTAGTCGTATTATTTCCTTAAACAAGGTTAACCAGTTGATCTTCGTAATGGTCAAGTGTAGTGTTTTCTTCGCGGTACGGACTGAATTCGTAAGTTTCATTTGAAAGAGCTTCGGCTCCAAAGGTTAATTAGCGTTTTAGTCGTATTATTTCCTTAAACAAGGTTAACCAGTTGATCTTCGTAATGGTGAAGTGTTGTGTTTTCTTCGCGGTACGGACTGAATTCTTAAATAATATTTAGAGTTTCAAAGAGTCAACGAAAACTGGTAATAAGAGAGAACAGCTCAGAACATCTCAATAATAGGACCGAGATAATTATCCTTGAAATCGAAGTTTGTGTGATATTACCAGATAAATAAACGAAACTCTCACCCATTCGTAACTTTAAAGCAATGACAATTAAAATTTACCATGGAACGTGAAAGTACAAAACCTCCATCTAACGACATATTCTGATCGAGCTTCAAGTGACTCATTCCTTTGGCAGGCCCCGAATTGAGATGTCGAAACAACGAATGGCTATCCCGAGTGAGGGATTTCGTGGTTTTTCTTCAGTACATATCAGATGACCCATGACTGCTTACAGCTAAGTTATTTCCGACTTTTAAATCATGAACCATTTTAACATTATACACAATATAAACTCGACAGCTGAAATCGCGTCGTTAAATAGCTCGATAATCGGTTAGGTTGTTCAGCATACAAAGGAACTCCCTAATGAGGGTAGATGACGCGGACCTGGAGAACATAACACAGATGAGGTATGCGAACACCTTGTCATATTTTGGCACTGGCGTCTCGTGTGACTTACCACACCACGTGGAGATCAACACAAGGCACTGCCCTCCAGATTACAACCATTTGGCCCAGTGGCATCGTTTGACGGCCGAGGGACCTCCATCCGGTTGGATGACAGCAGCTACTTCGGTAGGACTTGAGGTTTTCACGGAGGTGAGTCTGAAGATGGCTGTCTTCTGGGTAGCTGCTCCGTGTTTCAGAGTCCCTTACTCCCTCCGTCATCAGGGCGATGAAATTTCTACCAGACTACACGGCGCAACAACTCAGAAGTCAGCCATCTTCAAGTGATAAAATACACTTTATACTGACAGATCATGAGGAGACTTAGACGAAACCAGCTGACGGATAAATTCTAATAAGAACAGAGAGAAAACTGGTCACGTGGTCACGCAGCTGCCAGTAAACAAACAAGGCGTCAGTCTGACTGACGACGTTTTAAATATTTTTTTGTTTATTTACAAAACAAGCACAGATCATATCCGTCCATTCTGTTGGCAATATCAGAAACAGATTTAGAACAAACTTGGTATTGGAGGTCAAAATAGAAGCTGTCGGACTGGTGCGTATTTGGGCGTGGTAAGAAGGTCTGAAGTCAAAGGTGGATATTTAGGACTGAGTCTAATAATTTTTTTATTTTAACATTTCATAAAAGTCAGCACAATTTACTTTAAAACAAATTAACCAAACACTTGCATCTGGTATTAGCAAGTTTAAAGTCGCTTTAACTGCATGGTTACTCGTGTGGTTTAATATCGTAACGAAAGGCAATCCAGTGGAGACGATGGACCGCCTTGTGTATACAATGTGCAAACAAAGAACTTACTCGGTTTCGAACAAAGACTCTTACGTACGCAAAAATATATCTGTGGCTTGCTAAATGTATCGCCCGAGACGCGGACACCAGCCAGATTCTTTTTTTCTTGGCGAAAGTTCCTTCACGATGCTGTCTCTAAAAATACTCGCGAGTGTTAACAGAGGGTGCTGTGATTACCCTCTGTCGCTGTAAATAACAAGCAAGGTAAGATTGCCCGTTATATTGCGGCCTAATTAGCAACCGCGGCCATTAACAAAAATCATCCGTGGTGGCCAGTATTATAACCCGACTTATTGAAACTAGTGTCGGATGTGTCGCGTCTCCTGCCCGATTAGTGAGGATTAGTGTTTTGTAGTGTCTGCACTAAAAAAACTGTGTCATATTACCGAGCTCCTGTCCCTCAGATAAGAATGAGCATGGACCCAGAATTGTTCGAACAGCTCGCCAGCAGCATCGAACGGAATGAGAACGCAGACCCTGATTCGTCTGCCTTGTCGAGTTTTTTCAAATACTGGTGAGTGCTTTTTCTAACCTTCTCTATCTGAACAATTTTACGCCCTGCTCAAACTCTGAGCAGGGCTATTCCACCAGGAACTCAGAATTTTCCTCTCACAATGTATTTCGTACGATTCTCACTGTAAAAAGCGATTATTTCCTTGAACTGCGTTAACCAGTTGATCTTTGCAATGGTGAAGTGTAGTGTTTTCTTCGCGGTACGGACTGAATTCTTAAGTTTCATTTGAAAGAGCTTCGGCTCCAAAGGTTAATTAGCGTTTTAGTCGTATTATTTCCTTAAACAAGGTTAACCAGTTGATCTTTGCAATGGTGAAGTGTAGTGTTTTCTTCGCGGTACGGACTGAATTCTTAAGTTTCATTTGAAAGAGCTTCGGCTCCAAAGGTTAATTAGCGTTTTAGTCGTATTATTTCCTTAAACAAGGTTAACCAGTTGATCTTTGCAATGGTGAAGTGTAGTGTTTTCTTCGCGGTACGGACTGAGTTATTTAATATTTTTAGATGTGATTTTTTTAACCGCGTGAGTTATAAATAACCCCAAACGTGATCAGGGTTGCCTACAAATCACAAAATCCTCCATCGGGGATTAAAGGGAACGCGTTTGCACTTAGAACGTAAGGTTTAGTAAAAGCGAATACGGAATACAAATATTATCCAAATACTTGTTCCGCTATATTCTGTATCTAACTGGCCTTCGTGGTCATTTATTGCAAGCAGGAATCAATTAGCGCTAAAACTGACCACACAAAATTAATTTTTGTGCATTTCGTTAAATATTCAACAAATCTAAAAATGTTTCAAACATCTGTTTAAAGAAATGTTCTTTTTTTATGGTAAAAACCCGAAAATCCACAAGAATGAAATTGTAAATTATCCTGAGTCACTTGAATCAGTTCGAGACCTTCTAGACCCTGGGTTGTAACACCGTATTAATGTCGGTATATATGAACGTTTCGGAGGAAAGACTACCCCCATCATTAGGGGGTATCACAACATCAAATTTCAGTGTTCTTTTTCATTAGGTAATCGTATACAGAATGTCCCAAAAATATGTATACACACAACCATTACATTCGTCAACAATTTGCAATACTTTTTTTTGGGACATGCTGTATCACTGCTGGGAAATTCGACAAATGTTCGCATTTCTTATCACTCCTCATCGACAGAAAGAGAACCAAAGACCTGATCATCGGATATATATCTTTACATATCATAGCAATAAGTACAATCCATTAACAAAACATCTTCACCAAGACTCGAACGAAGGACAATTTTCGTGTTTGAGATTTTAGTTTCTGTAATCTCCTCACCGAAACAAACAATTCTGTTCTTTGCGCTATTCTGTCGTGCATGGTTACCAAGAATCAGAAGACATTATCACCGAGAAATGAACTCAGGACAACTTTGGTCTTGGCACAGTTTTCCTGTTGTACGTCTTAGTTAAAGTTACTCGAATATTAACAGGGATTCGAACCCAGGACAGTTTTTTCGGGCTTGTGGCCTTTTCTACTGTAATCTTCTCACCGAATCATAAAACTCAGGTTGCTACGAGCTAGACACAGCATTTACTGGGAATCAAACACAGGACAATTTCTCGAGTCGTAGCCATTGTTCACATAACCTCGACGAAGACATTGGCAGCTGCAATGTTCTCTTCATGCTCTCAAACAATAAGCATGCCGCGTTTGGTGCAAATCGGTATATTCGTGTTTGTCAAATTCCACTTACGGCTTACATAAGCGAAAGGAAACATAAAAAATCAAGTCAAATTGACAACAACCACACGACGAAGGAAAACAGAGATACTTTAATAAAAAATATTATTAGCAACGTAAATAAACAAGAGAAGTCACAGAAAGTCTTTAAAGAAACGAAATCGGGCTTCGCGACGCCGCCATAAACGACGCCGCGCGTCGCGTCGCAAATCGTCCCGCTGCCACCCCTTAAACAACATAGAGACCTAACCAACACAAACAGAACGAAAGATAACCGACGCAGAGCGTCGATACGTACAGAAAAATTGCATATATACAAACCTCCTTTTCAAGAAACAACGCCAAGCGTTCCGACGACTGACGTTGCGATGTCGCAACAAAATGTCAGAGTACATGCTCCATGGAAGAAAAAAAATACGGATTTAGATAAACGGCGCTAGACGCAGCGACGCCTATCATCCTGACACCACCGTTTAAAACTATGTAGAGCATATAAGCGAAAGAAAACCGACGCAGTGTCGTGACGCCAATGCCGAATTCCGTAAAAGCGTAGGTATAAACGCAGGGCATTAAAAACAAGATCTGCGAACAAACAAAGTTTAAGAACGAAGCCTGGCGTCGCGATGCCAGTTTCTACGACGCTTATACCAATTAGTATTAAAACCATATATAACCCGGACACAACATACATTCAACATCGAAAAACGACGCCTGGCGTTGTTATGCCAGTCGTCGCGACGCCTCCTCAGAATACCACTGAAAACTTACGTTGTCAAGGAAAACAAAAAAGACAAATTTGAAAAACGACGCCGGGCGTTGTGGCGTCAGTCGTCGCGACGCCTCCTCAGAATACCACTGAGCCCTTACGTCAAGTCAAGGAAAACAAAAAAGACGAATTTGAAAAACGATGCCGGGCGTCGCGGCGTCAGTCGTCGCGACGCCTCCTCAGAATACCACTGAACCCTTACGTTAAGTTAAGGAAAACAAAAAAGACGAATTTGAAAAACGACGCCGGGCGTCGTGGCGTCAGTCGTCGCGACGCCGCCACAGAATAACACTAAACTCGTATGTAAGTTAAGGACAACAAAAATGGGAATTGGAAAAAAACGACGCCGGGCGTCGTGACGTCTGTCGTCTCGACGCCGACAGAATACCATTGAACTCGTACATAAGTCAAGGAAAACAAAAAAGACGAATTTGAAAAACGACGCCTAAAACCCAACCTAACCTAACCTAACTCAACCTAACCCAACCTAACCCAACCTAACCTAACCTAACCTAACTCAACCTAACCTAACCTAACCTAACCTAACCTAACTCAACCTAACCCAACCTAACTCAACCTAACCCAACCTAACCCAATCCAACCTAACCTAACCTAACCTAACGAAACAACCCAAATTTCCCCTCTCTGATCTTCTGCTCTCTTACCACTTCTCTCTTCTCTTTCCTATTTCCTGTCTGCTCTCTCTCTTTTCCGCTGCTCTTTTCTCATATTCTCTCGTTTTCTCTCCTATTTTCTAATCTCTTCTTTTTCACCTCTTTCTCCTTTCGTTTCCTCTTCTTTACTCTCTTATCTTCTGAAATCCTCTCTTCCAGTCTCTTCCGCTCTCCTCTCTTCTCTCCATTTCCCTTCTCTTCGTCAATTTGCCAAATCACAGGTTTTCATGGGCTACCAGGCTTTATCCGAATGGAAATTTGAATGAAGCTGAAGGTACTGATTTTTCGGCAGTTGGTGATACTGTTTTTTTTTCAGACTCTATCAAAATATATGATGGGAAATCTGTCGGTTCCGTATGTTATCTATATATACTACAATGGTAGTGACTGTGTGATATACTGAGTAGAACCACGGAAGCTGTGGCTCGCCCGAAATTCAAATTTCTTCCCGCACAATATATTTATTTGTTTGGTTTGATTATCACAGTAAAAGGAAATATTTTGCAGACGAACCACGCGTTCGATAGGGTTAATGACGTTGGTACGTGAGCTGTACTGAGATATTTATTCTATCGTTTCTGTTTTCCAGTCTGAAGTCTCATCTCAGCGTCGTAATAAACCAGTACAAACGAGCAGACACCCACAAAACATATGGAGTCTTGCTGAATCCGGAAATGTTTAATGAACCAATGTTTCTCGCAACCACAGGTTAAAACAGTTAATGTCTGTCCGCATTTTAATTCAGTTTATACTCTCTGGTCATTCACTTTGTAAAAGTTTTATTTTTTT